CATTCCAGTTCTAAATTCCACACGCAAAGCTGGACAAATATGGCAAAAAAGCATCCCAAAGTGTATTTTAATTAGATTTCATTGTTATGGTTTTATTATTAGTGTTTGCCTGCAGATGTTCATACAAGTGAGTTTTTCTATGTGAGAATGGTCACAAAGCAAATGGTCCAAGATGACTTATGCTGGAAGTGTTTGGGCAGCCATCATGAAATCGCTTTGATTCTTCCCCATCCACTTTACAAAATTTTCAGTCAACCAATCAGGGAACAGAAACACCACCATGTAATTTGGGTGATCAGTCATGTACCATAGAATCATAGAAATGTAGGGCCGGACGGGACTTCAATAAAACATCAAGTCCAGCCTCCTGTGCTGAGACAAGACCAAGTAAACCTAGACCATCCCTGAGAGGCGTTTGTCCAGCTATTCATAAAAACCTCCAATAATGGAGAGTCCACAACCTTCTTTGCAAGCCTATTCCCTTATAGTTAGAAAAGTTTTCCTAATATCTAACCTAAATCTCCCTTGCTGCAGATTAAGCCCATTACAAACCATTGATAACTACTCTTTGAGTATGGTCTTTCAACCGTTTGCAAACCTACCTTACCATAATTTCATCTAGACCACATTTCCCTAGTTTGCTTATGAGAATGTCATGTGGACTGAATCAAAAGCCTTACTAAAATCAAGATATATCACTTTTAGTGCTTCCCCCCATCCACCAGGCCAGTAACCCTATCACAGAAGAAAACTGAGTTGGTTTGGCCTAATTTGTTCTTGACAAATTCAGGCTGGCCATTCCTTATAATCTTATTATCCTCTAGGTGCTTACAAACTGATTGTTTAATAATTTGTTCCAGTATCTTTCCAGGTATCGAAGTTAAACTGACTGTATATAATTCCCCAGGTCCTCCTTGTTCCTCTTTTTAAAGACAGGTACTAGGTTTTCCCTTCTCCAGTCCTCTGGGACCTCACTGTCCTCTCTGAGTTCTCAAAGATAATTGCTAATGGTTCTGAGCTTGCTTCAGCTAGTTCCTAAAGTACCCTAAGATGAGTTCCATCTGGCCCTGCTGGATTGAATACATCCAATTTATCTAAATATTCTGTCACCTGTTGGTTCCCTATTTTGGCTTGCATTCCTTTCTCCTTGTAAAATATTCATTGTGCGGAGTATCTGGCCATCATTAACCTTTTTAGCAAAGACTGAAGCAGAATAGGCATTAAACACCTCAGCCTTCTTCAGGTCATCAATTATTACCTCTCCGTTTCCATAAATAACTAATCGCGAAGAATTAAAAATAGCCGTGCAACAAATAGTGTGTGAATATAACCCATGGGCTGAAATATGTTCACAAAAAGACCCAGAGTTTGAGCTGCAATTGAAGAGCAGTTGCCACAGTTCAAGGAGGCATAGTGCCAAGGTGGCTTTAAACTACCTTCATACTTCCCTTTATTCTACATCAATATACACTAGCCTGGGCCCTAGGCAGACTTAGAGCAGTGTATGGACTGCTCTAAGTGGTGCCAGCTACCAGGAAATCACCTGGACATGTTTATGCCCTGGTCATATCTCCCTTTCCCCCACAGGAAGAGGCATGGGAACAGCTATATCCCCACAGCTTTACATTTACTACTTGATTCTGGGACTGTCTCCTTCAATTGTCCCTTGTTTTCTCTACCCAAAGCATTTCTTGTCACCCAGCATCAGAGAGTGTACCACAAAATACACGCCGACATTTTCATCGAGTTCAAGAGGGGGATGAATGCACAGACAAGAGGATTCAGCGAACTATACTACAAGTGCTCGTACAAAAGGGGTCTTATAAAGATTTTATAGAAGGGACAGGTTTCAAAATGTAAACAAAGAGACATGAAGATCATATTTAAGATAAGAATACCAGAAAGATTTGGGACAGATTTACAGATCTTTCAGGCAGAAAAACATATCCTAAGGCACATAGATACCCTCTGTCTAAATGGTGTCCCCCAAGACACACATTCTCTCTTTACATTCAGAGATTTAAGGTTAAAAAGGAGTGTTATAATTATCTAGTCTGTCCTCTTTCATAACACAGGCCATAGGAATTTGACCCAGTAATTCCTGGATCAAAACCATAACTTCTGGTTGAGCTGTAGCATATCTTTTAAAAAAAGACAGACAGTCTTGATATAAAGATTTCAAATGATGAAGAACACACCACTTCCCTAGGTGAGCTGTTCCAATGGTTAATTCCCCTCACTGTTAAAAATGTGCACTTTATTTCTCATCTGAATTTGTCTAGCTTCAGACAGGAGAATCTATAACTTCTCAGTTAGAACACATTACAAACATTGAACTTCTACAATTCAAAACCTTGTAGAACTTTTGACAATTTAGTTCCATTTGGCGAGAAAAGAGATTTTTTCCCCCTTAATAAAAAAAATCCAACATTTGTAAAAATTTTTCAAGTTTTTTGAAAAGAGTTCTCCAAGCCAAATTCTCCCCTCAAAGGCAGGCAGAATTTGAACGTTCAGAGCTCTGTGAAACCAAACCTTTTGTTGATTTTCTTGGATTCCTAACGTATATACCAGATATGCACATTGTGTACATACAGATTATTCCTTAGTAGCAAAAGAGGACCACAATCATTTTCACTTTTGGGAGGCTCTTAGAATAGCATCACAAACAAAAACATATGTAACAGTGAGTCTCAGAAGACCAGTAGATCTCATGTCTTGAAACAGATGTCTAGTTGGTGATCATAGAGGTGGATCACAGAATGTTAAGACTGCTTTCCAAATGTCTACTGGTTTCAAAGCTTCTAACATCATCCAAAGTCTTAGAGTCTATTGGGTACTTAGAGCATGTCACTAGTAGGCTTGTTAATTATGTACACACAGTACCCATTAACACTAAATAAAAACATATTTCCCATAAATTAGGCTAAAATGTTCATTTCAGTATCATGGTCATTCAAAACTCTAGTTTAGTATTTCACGCATTTTATGGGAGGTTTTAGTGTGCAATACCAGCATGATTTTGCAGAAATTCCCAGAAGAGGAAGTCATAGAAAGCTTTCAAAGCTGTGGATAGTTGTGTGTTATAACACACTGAAATTACAGACTTTGACTTTACTGAATGATAAAAGCCAGGAGAAGAGAGTTGAAAGTAGAGGTCATTACTATCTTCTGCCCATTAATGCCCCTGACAAATAAACCATAGGAAGGCAGTCAACATCCCATAGGCGCACACAGCTGTTGAGGTCAGATCTGAAATGGAGGGTTGCATGAATTTGAGAAAACATATTATCCAGATACACTTAGAACTATATATGGGGGATTATTGCTTTTATATAGAAAGTATATGCTAGTGTAATCAGCAAGAGAGATGATTTGTGCCAGATAGATAATCCTTTTTTGTACATTGAATTAACCCTGAAGGCATTTTAAAAGGTAGGATTATTAATTCAGACACACCACTGTACCCTGATATGGGTCCTGATCCTGCCTCCATTGAACACAAAGACAAAACTCCCAATGGACCATATCCTGCTTGCATTCATCATTACAAACTTCCACTAGCATCAGTGGGAGTTGGACCAGGACCTAGAATTTGGTTCTGTAAAGTCAGTTTGGTTCAAATCATTAGTTGGGTGACGAATGATCCCAAAGGAAAAATTTCACTTAGTGACATCATCAGCCTTCACTCCATCTGGCTAATGCAATTTGTTCCCGGTATAACCCTTCAAAACACCGGAGTGCAACTGTTCTTGCCACATACAGGCACATACTTATGCCTTTCAGACTAGCCAAAAAGCAAGACCATATCTACTACTGCAAGTTCCCAGTAGGCCAAAAACGATCAAGATACTGTTCCTTGAATTCTTCCTGAGACCAACAAAGGCTTTCCACTATTTACAAATCAAAAGCATTTGGAGACAATCATCATTATTTTTTTTATTTATTTAAAACAAGGAATGCCTTGTCACTATTATATAAGAAAAAAATATACATCCGCCTATTTATACCCATCCTCATCCAAGCATTCCAAAAAATATAATTCCTATTCATGCAGGTAGTTGCTGCACAAAAAATTAAAATAAAATAATAGCCTTCATAATAATAATAATTTTTATAAATAAGAGCAAAGTAACAAAAAGAAACTCTATAGTTCCAACAATTTTCCCAATTTCTCTTTAAAAAATTCTACTTGCACAACAAATTGTTGGAACGGTAGCAAATGGTGAAAGTAAATGTAGTTAAATCAATTATATTATTTGCTTTTGATTATTAATTCCATTGCTAGTTTTTCTTGTGTTTTTTTTTTTATAATGCATACCAGTTTTACAAAGTGCATGCTTTATTTTTATTTTATTTTATTTTTAATTTTGAACTGGCAAGCTAAAATGATCCATCTTTTCCTGCCCCCCCCGCTTTTTTTTTAATGTTAATACAATCTAAAATCTAGCATTCAAAAATTGATCATGATACACCTGATATATTGACTGCTTATGACACATGCTTGACTTGGCAAAAACAAAACAAATTGGCTCCCCCGTCCCCTATTCTTTTGGAAGCAGTCTAAAAGTTAAAAGCAGACTGGAACACAATTGCTTCAAGGGGAAAAAAATTAATACCTGATGCATTTTTGTCACATGGCACTGGTTGTGGAATTGCACACACACGCACCCAACACACACGCGCACACGCACACAGCGACCTGCTTGAGAGGAAAATAGTTTATTAGGTCAGGAGTGCCAGTGGCACATGAAGGCTCCCAGCTTTGTGTGCAACTTTGGATTTGGTACCCACTTCATGTCACCTCGAATCCTCTGAAATCCACCGAGGGGGTAATGTAAGGCATACTTTGCTGGAACAGAATTAATCCATGCTTCATGCTCAAGAGCTGAGTCTCAGAGGAGGACTGGCTTTTTCTATTCCCTTTGGCCTCGCTCCGTCTCACTCAAGAAACAAAAAGGGTAATTGGGGAAAACAAGTAAAGCAAAAGAAGACAAATCACTTTAAATGGACTTTCGCCTTTTCATCAGCCTGTGGTTATCTGTAAAGCTGTGCAACCCAGGTGAGATGGAGCTAACAGGAGATGGGAAAAGGCTGTTTTTTAATGTGCTTGGTGAGATCTCTTCTATCTTGTAAGAGATGGAGTGAAAGTACTGAGGATTCAGCTTGGAGCTGAACGAATTTTGGTGAGACACCATCCGGCTGGTGTACTCATGGGACCTGTAACACATGCAGGAACAAACTGACTGAAGGTCTGTTACTTCGGCCTTGTACCGTGGCCGAACATGCTGGGCGTCCTCTTGAATGTGAATAATCATGCTGTTGCGGTTCCCTGCCAGGGATGCCCGCTCCTCGGCATCCCGTCTCTCGTCCTCACTGTTCATGGTTAAGAACCTGAGAACAACCAGATTTAGAAATGCCCCAATGACTGTCAACCCCACTAGAATGTACATAAAGCTAAAAGCCACGTAGAGTGGCTTCTTTTGGAGGGCCCCTTTGGTCTGCAGGGCCACATAGTCGCCAAACCCTATCGTAGTCAATGTTATAAAGCAATAATAGTAAGCATGGAAAAAGCTCCACTCCTCATATTGGGAAAAGGCTGCTGCTCCAATGCAGAGGGTTCCCATGCAGGAGAAGAAACCCACAGTGACCATGTTTTCCATGGAGACATCAGTGCTCCTCATCCCGCAGCACTTTTTGATCCGTTTCAGGAGGTACTTGACAAAGGTGTTCATGCGCTCGCCCAGGCTCTGGAACATGACCAGCGTCAGTGGGATCCCCAGGACAGCATAGAACATACAAAAGGCTTTCCCGGCATCCGTCCCTGGGGCGGCATGTCCATAACCTGGAGAAGAAAAGGAAAAGATAGGAGAGTCAGCAAGGAGTGGGAATTCCTAAAGCTTCCTCATCATACCGGCAGCGCAAATCATTAACAAAAATAACTCAAGCACCCTGTCAACACCCACGTCTTCCCCAGGCATAATACTCTCCTTTCTGGAGAAGCCAAAGCCACCTCTTTCAAAGTCTTTGGAAGGCACAAGTGACTCCTACATTAATGAGGACTTATTTGCTGCTGCAGCAGTGGAAGTGTTCAGCCTGGGAGTTCATGAGAACACTGCAGTGATGAACTGCCCTATTGTAACAGGGGGCTCCCAAAGCCAGCGAAAACCCTAGGTGTGCATATGCCTGAGGAGAAGACTGGATGAGGGAATGGAGAATCTATTCTGTTGTGTTCCAATTTAAATAAAAGCCTTGTCCTTGTAAGCAAGCAAGAAGAGTGGCAACACTGCTTAATGGCAAACAAAATTATACAGAGTTCATTTGCTGGAGAAGTTTCACTTCCTTCCTGAAGGATTTACTATGGTGTATAGCATAACATTCAACCTCCATAACTGGAAATGGTTGTCTTCACCAGGGCATTTAAAAAAAACAAATACACACACACACACCTGATACCTGGCATTGGAATCTGGTCCATTGCAAAGACAGGAGATTTTGATGGCCTCAAAGGTAAGTATTCTCTGGCAGGAGTGATTCAGCAGTATCCAGAGAACCATCAGAGGTAGAGAAACCATCCCAAACCTCTCTCCAGTTTGTTGGTGGAATTTTAACAAGCTTCTCCTAGGGACCCTGTGAAAGACACTCATTGCTGGAAGATTGAAGGGTTTTGAGGGGAGGGTTAAGGCTTGCACAATTTTTAATTATAGAGGAATGCACAATTGACTCAGATCCTTCTATTATTACTAGAAATGGTTGGAACTATTAATTATATCAGGTGACTCAGGGAGTCCAGGACCGGGTATGTGGAATGTTTCATGTTATATGTTATATTAGTAGGGATATGAGAACTGGTTTGTATTGAGTGAGAACCTTCCCAAACCTTCACCGAAACCACTGTGACTTAACTTTTTCACCCCACATTGTTGCACAAATCTGTACTTCCTGCTAGGAGTGGGAGTGTGAAAATACCTAGATCCCTGCGCGGATACAAAATTTGTATCCGCTCCCGATCTGCAATCTGCAAACAAAGTCCGCGGATATCCATGGATATAAAGCAGATATCCACAGATTTGCAGGGCTCTAAAAATACCTCAAGAGAGAAAGATCTTGCAGCAATTCTTGTCCAGTTTTGCAGTCCTAAGAGGTTTCACAGAATCTAAATGTCCTATTTCCCACTCCATTATGTTGGGGAATATGACTCTTCTGGAATCAATGGCGAGACACAGGTGTAAAACTGAAGTGGAGAATCAGGCCTATAGATGGTCATGACCTAGTGAGCCATCTAATCCATCTCCTTGCCAGTGCAAGACACACACAGGAGGGTGGGATAAAGGTCTCAACTTTTAGATACTTATCCATACTGAATTTAATCTCTAAGTGTGAAATTCACTCCCATGCAGAGAGATTGCACAAGGTCTTACTCACCACCTATTTTCCACTTAAGCCCTCCAAATAGGAATGTAGATGGTCTCTTGGCCCTCCACACAGGAGTGAATTTCTTTTGACATTTCCCCAATCAATACTGTAGCCCTACTCGGATATTTTCAGTCAGACTCTTGGCCCAAAACCTACCCATTTGCAGTGTGCACAGTATGAAATGCAACTAGTAGTTAGTTAGCTACACTGCTGCAGGTAACGGTAGTAAATTGTCCTGCGCTTGGCTACGGATGCGATGAGCTAGTAATGCACTTTCACCAGAACTCAGTACTGAATCCCATGCAAAGTAGAAAGAAACACTGGTCTAGAAAAAGAAACAAAAACTAGAAACTACATCTTCAAAGATCCAGTAACAACCTTTATTAACTCAACTGCTAGTTGCTGGCAGCTGGATGGTGATATAAAAACAAGTCTGCAAAAAAAAAAAAAAAATAGAAACAAGTTATTTTTAAGATTACAGAAAGAACAAATTGATTCACCTGTTGTACCAGACCTTGTTTTCAGCTCTTTACAAAGAGCAGCTTCCAAATTTCCTGGGGGAATAAATGCCTCCCATAGATTGATGCTGGATTTGTTCCACCTGACTATCCCTCAATAAAGGCTATAATTGCCTCTCATTACCAAGATCAGCTTTTGAACTACAGGGGTGTTAATTAAAGCAAGGACATCTTCCCATTTTATAGCTTTAGTTACAGCTGATAAAGAGGAGGAAAGCGTCAGAAAATGTGATTTTCCAGATGGTGACAGAGATGGCAGTTGGTAGAAACAGCTCTCTCTTTGGGCTCTAAAGAAAAGGGTTAGGGATGAAAAAAGATTTCCTATGAAATTGTCCAATCCCACTCCTTAAGGATCCCGAGAGACAATTTAGGAAGATTATAATAAATTAATATTATGCACTTACAGAGCATCTTCCACCCGAGTTTCTCAAAGGACTTTACAGACCCAGTAATTAATTCACTTACAATACCCCTGTGAGAGAGAGAAGCATCCGTAGCCCCATTTTGCAGGTAGGAAAAGTGAAGCACAGATAGAGGGTGACTTCTCACAAGGTCACACAGCTAGAAAGAGAATGCTTACTATATAACTTTAGCCATTAGACCATACTCACTGCATCAGTGTAGGTTTATACTATCTGATATGTTATATCACAGTTTGAACATAAACACGTAGAACAGAAAAGGCCTTTTTTATGGAGATGGAATCAGACCCTTAAAATAGGTTCATGAGTGCTAGGCAAAGAGCATTTCTTTAGTGCAGACAAGGCCTTGGAGCATACGTAGCTCTGTGGCACTGACCTCAGAGATTAACAGTGAAATGCTCTGAACTTTACAAAGCAAAGGCAAAACTCTCATTTGTTTCAGTGGTGCAGAATCAAGCCATAAACTCTGTAAATCAGCAAAAAGCAAATGATATTAGTTAAGTTCTTTAAATTTTAATAATGTAAGTCTGAAATTTAAAATGGGACACTGTCCCTTTTAATTTCAAACTCACTCAGAGGCCCAATGTCAGAAGCCAGAGAGGGATCAAAGTTTGCCAGAAGAAAGTGGAGGATAAACAGTTTCTTACCAGTAAATAGTGTTTCTCCAGTGGATAAGGTCAGGCTCCAACAGGGCCGGCTCTAGGATTTTTGCCGCCCTAAGCAAAAACAATTTTGGCTGCCTCCCCCCCCCCCCCCCCGTTTTTTAATTACCCCACCCCTGGCCCTGCCTCAACTCCGCCCCTTCCCCAAAACCCAGCCCTGCCTCCTCCCCCCAGGCTCTCAAGCCTAAGAGGGAGGGGGAGCAGCGGCGCGCGAAACGGCCTCTCGGGATCTCCCCCTCCCTCCCAGGCAGCAGCAGCAGAGGTGAGCTAGGGCGGCCGCAGCACATTTTTAGGGGCGGCATTCTGGCGCCGGCCATGCCGCCCCTAAAAATGTGCCGCCCCAAGCACCAGCTTGTTTTGCTGGTGCCTAGAGCCGGCCCTGGGCTCCAACTAGATGGGTTTTACTTACAACAAGCCTCGGTGGACACAAGCGACCACTTCAGTAGCAGAAGATGACTGCCTAATAGGGTGACCAGACAGCAAATGTGAAAAATCGGGATGGGGTGGGGGGGTAATAGGAGCCTATATAAGAAAAAGACCCAAAAATCGGGACTGTCCCTATAAAATCGGGACTTCGGTCACCCTACTGCCTAAACAGGGTGTCTAGAGACTCTTGTTAACTTCCCCAGCACAAAAGCCGCTGCACTTTACTCAAATATGAAGAGAAGTACTTACAAGTTGGGAGATGAGAGACACTGGGTTGGAATGAGCCTGGTTACAGAAATAAAGGCATCTGAAGACACATGGTATTGGGTTTTCAACTTAGATCATTTTCACCACCCTGAGAAGGGTGTGAAGGTTATGCAGAGGACCCTAGGACCATGATATTGAGAAGACATCCACTTAAGCTAAGGGACTGAAGAAAACCAGGGGACTTGGGCATCCACAAGAAAGGAGAAGAGGTCCATAAAGGTGACACACCATGTCTACACCAGGGAGTGGAGCTCCTTCTGTCAGGTTAGAGTTTCTGCTTATTCTGAATGTGAGCAAGTTCGATGTGCCTGGGAGATGAGCAGCAAATAGAGGAAAGAGGTTTTGCTCTGCTCAGCTGAGCAGCAGGATCAAACAGTAGAGAAGCCCAACTCGTGGAGCCTTAACTTGGAGCAGGGCCATATCTATCTAGGTATCTAGAAGGCTCCCATCACTGCAGTATCTGGAATGGCAAAATGCAAGGACCTGGTTAACAGCAGGCAGACATCTCTGAGTTGGTGGACTGGGAGAGTGATCCCTAACGTTTAAAGAGACATTACCAGATGGAACAGGGGGTGTATAAATGACTGTCACCTTGAATGGTGGGACCAAAGTGGCTTCCGTACCCATTCTTTCCCTGTTACGCCCAGATGCTTGCTTAGGCTTCACCGATGGGATTCTTCAGTTGTGTCCTGGTTTGGAGAAGGACAGTCAGGCATGAGGAACATGTCGTGTCTCAAAGTGTTATCCCTGTTTTGAGCCAATCTGTGTCAATTGCAGTTTCCTCCCCAGCTACAGCTGAGGCGATATGGAGGGTGTCCGGTTCCTCAAACAGTCATGCAGAATGGTTGAGAGGTTTAGTCATGAGAGGCAGAGACTCGGGTCACCACAGCCTCATCCCAAATGGGTCACTGAGTTATTTTCTTCTTTGCTGGCTCTGGGGGATGCCTCTGGTACTCAACAGCATACTAAGGACAATTCTGGAAAACCAGCGAGATCTAAACACTCTCGTTTGCTCTGTTCTTAGCAGAGTATAACTTGGGAGGCTTGAGGCAACCTGCTTTGTTCCATTAAGTTGGCTGTTCCATTGCTTGCTTGTGCCCTTTTAAGTATAAGGGAAAAGGAAACCCACTTAGT